CATATTGAGTTGTGTTATTTTGGCAATGATAAGATAGTAAACAAATTGCCAGATGGCGCATCTCTATTGCTGTCTGGTTCAGTTTGTGCATTTTTTTTGGTGTGTTTTGTATTGTTCAACCCACTTAATTCTTGAGGGATTGTAATTTATACCATACTTTTGTAACCAGTCTGCAATGTTACCTCTGCATGTGCTTCTGTTAAGGCGGTTATCCTTCACAACGGAATGGTAGCTGGCATTATCTACTTTTCAGTTATGACCAGTTATTACTAGTAAAGAGAACACCACATGCTGTGGAGGAAACATGCAAACCAGAGGCATATGGCAGTCACAAGACTAGTAAAGACAACACCACACACTGTTTAGGAAACATGCAAACTAGGGGCATATGGCAGTCATAACTGAAAAGTAGGCTACATATGAGGGGCAAGCTGCCAAAACAAAACACCCTGGACAGACATACGTTTATGAACAATGGATGACACCCCGTGTGAGGTATGCACCAAAATAATGTGAGTTTCTTTGCTTAAAACCTATATTTCTTAGTAATTTATATGTCGGTAACACAGAACCACTATAGTTAATTTTTTCCTTATTGCATGAGATTGTCTGGAGTTACAAACTATCCCTCATAATAAAATTCACATACAGTCCTGCATCATGTATTGTTGACAGAAGTATCTAATTTGTTATGTGTTCTGGCACATTACAATGCTTCTTGGGAAACCTGAATAGTGGCATGCTGTATGTTGCACTGATTTCTTATTCTCACTGCAAATGCATGACAGTATGCACAGTGACACCACATGCCTTGTATGTCAAATTGTGACTCTTGGAGAAATCTACATTCACATGTTATACATCAAATTAAATTATGTTTCTGCCTTGACCATGCACAAATTTACATTTACTTCTAGCAGAATCACTTGTGCTTCATTCATTTATTGATATAGTACTAATTGCAGGTGTAGTACATGCTCTTTTTTTTTCATTGGCACTACAGCCCCAGTGGGCCTAGGCCTACCTCCATGAACTTCTCCGTTCACTTCGGTTTTTTCTAGATCATACACATTTGGTAGGACTCCTTGGGCGGGTGATCAGCTTGTCGCAAGACCTCTATCTGTACACAAACACAGAAAAACACACACACACAAACTAAACATCCATGCCCTGAGTGGGATTCGAACCCACGATCCTGGTTTCCAAGCAAGTGAAGACAGTACATGCCTTAGACTGCTCGGCTACCGTGACCGGCATACATGCTCTTTACAGACATAAATTAGATTCTTACCGTCTGCTTCAGAGAAAATTCTTACGGCTGTACACCAATTTATTTATGATCAAACTTGGATCAAAGTTACACACAGGACAGCAGTTGATCTTTAGTAATTATTAAAGAAAGAATGTATCGTTTGTAATAGCTGCAGGAAGACTGGTTGAAAGTGTATTTCATGATAAAAAGTTTGAACTCGTGAGTCTCTTAATGTATAAACATGGGACTTGAAGTGCAACGTCATAAAACAGCACTTGCTCCTATTGTTTTTAATATCTTGTTTTAAGCATATTTTCTGAGTGCAAATATGAACACACACATCTCCACAGTGGTGGCAGCATACTGGAAACTTTTCCTCCCACTGCTTTTGATTTATGCATCCACTTTAGTTGTATAAATTTGTAACATAAGATGTCTCTCCCATTTTCTGGAACATTTTAGAATAGTGAATATTTAGGAAAGAGAAGGAAAGATTACTCTCAGATGTGTACTAGACATTTTACTTTCATTCCTCTTTCTTTCTTTTGAATGCTCGTATATAGTTAGATCACTGAGTGTACTGCCCATGTGAAAACATGCAAGAAGAACAGCAAAGATAGAGGGAGTTAAGAGCAACAGTGAGACTCTGAAGCTAAGCTTTGTTATTCATCAAGCATTTGGCACATCATTTGTAAAGGAAAAGGACATTGGGACTATGTGTAGATTGCTTACAATTCTGTATTTCAGCATCCTGTTGTAAATCTTTAACCAAATATCTGTGTATTCACAGTCTGTCTATAATGCAGCAATTGTTTTATTCACCATTTAACACTCAACAGTTGTAACAGTTGGACGTATTAAAACACCCGAAGATGGCCATCTGTGGCCGAAACATGTTGTGTTGAGTATGGTGAATAAAACAAATGTTGCATTTTAGATGGACTGTGAATACATAGACACTTAGATTTCTTACGTTATTTCCAATCTCTGAATCTTCAATTTTAGATTATTTTCTTCTCGTACATTTCATGTGCTTTGTTTTCTTTTCATTGATTACTGATCCATATTTTATGGATTCCTTCTTTAATTTATTAAAAGCATCGGTCATGGCCTGTTCTGGCAGTTATTAAAATACCATCTGCATATGCAGTACATTCTTTCAGTCTGGTGGAGATGTTTCCCCTAGTATCATGCTTTCTTATTACGTCTATGGCTATGCTAAAGAGAGTAGCAGACAAAGGATCTGCTTGTTTTACACCTTTTAATACCTCAGATTTACTAGAGTACTCATTCACTTTCACTGTTGCTTTTATATCCATTAAAGGTAGTGCTATTAAGATAATCAGTTTTATTGGGACATAATATTTTAGGGTCTCCAATACTTTATTTCTGTCAACTGAGTCAAAAGTTTGTGTGTAATCAATAAATATATTGTGTAGTTCAATATTATACTCACAACATTTTTCAAAAACTTGTCTACTAATAAATATGTTATCTATGGTAGATATTTCTGGTCTGAAACCCATTTGCACATCACCTAGTTTTTCTTGTACTACTTCAGCTAACTGATTAATTAGTAGAATTTGAAATATTTTATAGGCTATATTAAGAAGGGTTTTTGGCCGATAGTTGGAGCATTTTGTATGGTCTCCTTTCTTATATACTGGGCAGATAATTCTTTCCATCGAGTCTTTAGGTAATTCTTCTTTATTCGATATTAACAGAATTAGATTGTGTGGGAACATCCCACATACTAACACGCAGTTTCACCAGTCTAACAGACAGCACTCACTCCTAGGTCAATATCACATTGCTGCACATTGCTGCTGACACTCATATTTATACAGCACTTGATGTCCAACCCACCTGTATGTCATCACATGCACTAACCAATCACATCATAGGCAGCTGTTTCTACCAGCGCATGCAGCACTACATCACTGGCCAGACAGGCCAGCTGAATGGCCATAAGACTTTGTCTACTATGAAGTAGCAGATTCTGCCAGCACACTCGCGGTGGAACAAACTGCCCTTTTGAGGGCCAACCATCTTTTGAACATTCCACATAGCTTTGCAGCTACTCTGTACATTCAATTTATACAAGTTAATATATACAATTGTTACAGTTCTACGTGGTTGTCATTTAGAACATCGACAATCCCATAATTGTAGTCTTTGCTTCAGTGTACTTCTTCCATGTTTAATTAGTTCTGAGGGAATATTATCAGTCCCTGGAGCCTTTTTCAGTTTGAAATTGGTTATTATGTTGTCTATTTCTATGTCTCTCTTCATTAAAGTTCTAAAATATTGCACCCATCTCTCTTAATATTCTCTCTTGTTAATTTTCCATCTTCATCCTTACAGACCTATACACCTGTAGATTTCCCACCTTGAAAAAACTTGATATAATTAAAGAACTTTCTTATGTTACTTTGTTTGTGTACTTCCTCTTCCAGCTTAAGGCTGAGTCCATATATAGATGAAATTATTGGGGATTATCAGTGTGGGTTTTCATGTAAGAGATGAACTATTTTTGTGATTTTTTTGCATTTGTCAGGTAAAAATAAAAGGTAAATTTATCCCTGTAATTGGCCATGAAGACCTATAGGGTGATATATGTCAAAGTTCACATATTTTCTAGAAAATTGGCTCACAGATGGTGGTGAGGTTGTCAGCCCTATGTGCCAGCCACCCTCTACCCACAGGAGGATACCTGGTGCTCATTTCTGTTAGAGGCTGAGTCGAACCCTGGGCAATAGTGCGGCTGGAAGGATTGGGTCAATTGAAAAATTCGGTGACATTGGGAAATGAACCTGTGACGTAGCTTGTAGCATAGTGCCTCACCCAGCTATGCTATCATGTGCCCCACACTTGTCAGATACTAGGAAAAAAAATGGTACAATAAGGTGGTACATCAGCTATTAATGTACTTCAAAAAAGCCTATGATTCATTTCGGAGGAAAGTATTGTACAATATTCTCATAAAATGTGGGGTACCCATGAAAATAGTTAGGCCAATTAAAATGTATTTAAATGAGATTTATAGTACAGTGTGCACTGGTAAACTTTTGTCTGATAATTTTCCTGTCCTGAATGGTCTAAAACAAAGAGATTCTTTATTGCCACTTCTTTTCAATTTTGCTTGAAAATATGCCATTTGCCACTATGCTAGAAGCCGTAAGGTCGCAGGTTCAAGTCCCGATGAGATCACTGCATTTTTTCAATTGACCTAACCCTTACAGCCGCACTATGGCCCTGGGATCGACTCAGCCTCTAACAGAAATGAGTACCAGGAATATTCTTGGCGGTAAAGGGCGGCCAGTGCATAAGGCTCACAACCTGGCCGCCATTCACGAGCCAACTGTCTACAAAGTGTGGGAGCGTCAACAGCTCCCAACCCTATGGCCCTCCACGGCCTGTTATAAGGATACCTTTACTTTTTTACTTACTTTTATATGCCGTTAGGAAGGCCCAGGAAAACCAGATAGGACTGAAATTAAATGGGACACGTCAGTTGCTGGCCTATGCTGATTATATGAATGTACTGAGAGATAACAAAGATACTATAAAGAAAAAAACATAAACTTTGACGCTAGTAATGAGGTTGGTCTAGAAAAATGCAGAGAAAGCTAAGTATATAGTGTTGCCTCATCACATCTTGAGCAACTAATCGAACGTAAGTTTCCTCAGTGTGCGCCTGCTAATTTGGAAACCAGTTGCCTGCTTGAAATCGGCGATATTTCTCGGAAAAAGCGGTTGCGTTGCGGTTGCCAGGTTCCTTTGTGTGCGCCCAGCCTTATGCATATTATTACTGCGTACCGATTGCATGTAATTGAATAACGGATGTGCTATACATTGTATCTTGTCCACATTAAATGGCAGTAGTTTGGAAATTTCTTATCGTTTGTCTGAAACGGTCTGAAACCATGCAGACAATGCAGACACTGAACTCGCCCTACCGGCATAGCAAAATAGTGGATGTCAGTGCCGAGGTGCCGAACGTGCGGACAGTTGGAAAGTAGGTTATGTTGTAAATGTTAGAGCAATGTGTTTTTGGCGAAATATCTTTGCGTAAATAAAAAGATATATGACTGTAATTGTTACTTTTTCATGAAGTGTTAGTTATTATTTGTTCGTATCAATTAAACGGAAATGATTACATTGACCCTTATAAATGGCAAAGTATATACATGGAACGCAGATGGTAAATAAAAGGTTGAATAATTAAAACGCCACATATTTAACCATTTGTCATAATTATGAACCGAAATGTACGCGTCTTTGCAGATTGGCAGAAGCTCCGTGAAGAATACCGCATTGTTGGTGCATTAATTGGTTGCCTGGCCCATCTTCCCCGTCAGGATTCTTTTCTAGGTCTACCCATGGTGCTGCTACCTGAAGAAGTGACTCTGTTGCATGAGCAGAAGCTTGTTCGTTTGGTGTCTTACTCATTTCCTTCATATGCTTCAAGTAATGCTGTGAGACAGAAATTTCAGGAATACAGGAAAACAATGTATATGCAGCAGGTTTGTAACATAAATTGAGACAGTAAAAGCGTAAATGTGATTACTCCCAGCATTATTTTTTAATAGAATAGCAGTGCCAACCAAACACAGGAATTCCTTTACCTTGTCATTAGAAATTGGTAATCATCTTCTTACTCAGTGCCCAAACAGCATTGTATATCTTTTTTCACAATCAAGCTACTTGCTTAGTACAGATTGAATTAATTTGCTGAGCATTTCTGGTGAAGCCGATTATGGTTTTAAGTAATTTCATTAAATACTGGGGGTTGGGGTATTTGGGAACAACGATAACACATCAGATCCTGATTCAGGAGGAAATTAAGAGGCAATTGAACTCGGGTAATGCTTGCTACCGTTCAGTCCAGAACATTTTGTCTTCTTGTCTGTTGTCCAAAAACATAAAATTTAGAATATACAAAAGTATAATTTTGCCTGTGGTTCTGTATGGGTGTGAAACTTGGTCTCTGATAATAAGGGAGGAACATAGACTGAGGGTGTTGAGAATATTTGGACCGAAGAGAGATAAAGTGACAGGAGGTTGGAGAAAACTGCATAATGAAGAGCTTCATAACTTGTACTTTTCTCCAAGTATAATTAGAATGATCAAGTCAAGGAGGATGAGGTGGGCAGATCATGTAACACAAATGGGGGAGACAAGGAATGCATATAGGATATTCGTGGGAAAGCCAGAAGGAAAGAGACCACAGGGAAGACCAAGGCATAGGTGGGTGGACAATATTAGAATGGATCTTAGAGAGATAGGATGGATTGGATAGATCTGGCTCAGGATAGGGACTGGTGGAGGGCTCTTGTGAACACAGTAATGAACCTTCGGGTTCCATAAAATGCTGGGAAATTCTTGAGTAGCTGTGGAATTGGCGACTCCTCCAGAAGGGCTCAGCTCCTTGAGTAAGTAAGTACAGTGGGGGGGAACAACCTTCTCATTAATTAGCATCATGGTTAGGAGGTGGTTTTTATTTATTGTTAACAAGTTTCGTAAATGATAGAAACAGTACATATGTACCTCCTGCCTTGCTAACAATTTTTTTCTCTCATTAGTAATTTTGTAGCCCATTTTTAATTTCTTTTAAATGTATTGTATAATGTACTACCATTAATTTTAGTTGTTTATGAGGCTGCACCACAGCTCAAGCAGTTAGTGTCTGGCATCCCACCACAGTGGCCTGGGTTTGAGCCCAGGTATGGTCATGTGGGATATGTGGTGGACAAAGTGGCACTGGGGTATGTTTTCTCCAAGTACTTTGGTTTTCCCTGCCAGTCTTCATTCCACCAACTGGATATACACAGTCACCATCATCTCTCATTTGGGCTGGTACAATAAACCAGTAGTGGCCGCAATACCAGGTGGACTCGGTCTCACCCCACTAAATATAATATTTTTTTTGTTTTTTTGTTTACATTCCCTACAGAATGGACAGTACTGTGTAAGATGAGGCACCGAGTAAATAATTAACATTAATATTACTACATCTATATCACGAGCCTCCAATAACAATTTTTATATACACACAAAATATAGAATACTCCAATTTGTCCTTGGGAACACAACAAAATTACAAAATCCAATGACTGACTCGATGATGTAAAGCATCAATCAAAGAATTTTATTCTTGTTTTATACTATAACTTTTATTTTATTTATATAGATTTATTGTATTTCAAATCAAGTATTTTATATAATTAATATTATTGTATCCAATTTTACTAGTACTGCAGTTCAATGGTGTATATATGTTAGCCATGTATTTGCCTGATGATGGCTATTAATAGCCAAAACATGTAGCAGAGCCAAAACTAGGCACTGACCTCAATATAGTTGTGTTGTGACAGTTTTAATAAGGAAGTTGAATAATAATATTAATAGTTGTTTATAGGTTGAATGCTTCAAAGAAGAACGTAAACGTCAGGTCACTTCTATGATTGATCATATTGTGGAAGGAAAGCGACGTAAATTGTTGGGACTTGGTCATAAAAGAAAGAAGGCTCATAATGAAAATGAGAGTTCAGTGCAAGATCAGTCACAGTCAAAAAATTATGAAATGGACACAGATCATATTGACCGAGAAGCACTTCTTAGGGATNCAAATCAAATATTTTATATAATTAATATTATTGTATCCAATTTTACTAGCACTGCGGTTCAGTGGTGTGTATATACGTTAGCCATGTATTTGCCTGATGATGGCTATTAATAGCCAAAACATGTAGCAGAGCCAAAACTAGGCACTGACCTCAATATAGTTGTGTTGTGACAGTTTTAATAAGGGAGTTGAATAATAATATTAATAGTTGTTTATAGGTTGAATGCTTCAAAGAAGAACGTAAACGTCAGGTCACTTCTATGATTGATCATATTGTGGAAGGAAAGCGACGTAAATTGTTGGGACTTGGTCATAAAAGAAAGAAGGCTCATAATGAAAATGAGAGTTCAGTGCAAGATCAGTCACAGTCAAAAAATTATGAAATGGACACAGATCATATTGACCGAGAAGCACTTCTTAGGGATGAGCTGGACAAGATAAAATGCATGGATGAAAATAGTACACTTGTCCAAACATTTACAGGTGCATTTCTTATTGCTAGTATAACCCTTATTTTTGAATCGTGAAGTCCTTGATTTTCTGTTGTTAATGTTTATGTTCTTTTACTTAAAGCAAGTGTGTGGTTGTATGAAGAAGATGCTACTCCAGTTGAGTGGCAATATCCTGTAACCTCTACTGAAACCCTCCGTTATAAGACATTTAAAGATCTGTGGGAAAAGGGTTACTACATTACTGGAGGACAGAAATTTGGAGCAGATTTTCTTGTATATCCTGGTATGCATCATAGCAGTTCTTTCCCGTAGAATATCATGAAGTAGTTTATTGATCAACATACATGTTTATTTCTGATCACAGTTATGTAATTTGTTTGTTGATTGGTTATTGTGTAAGAACTTGACATAATTGGTATATGACTGTCTGCAGTAGCCTATGTGGATACCTTACATATCCGCAAATTAGAATGTTAGCAGAAAGAGTAAGATAAAGGTTAACAACATTCACTGGTGAGGAAATAAAATTAATTTGGAAGAGTGGATTTGAATGCAAGGTGGATACTGTTGGCAGTATTGGACATTTGTGTGTGCACTCTGGATGATGCAAATTACATCTGGCTCTGCAAACTAGCAGTTGTTGTCTTGCTAACATATGTTATTAACTTGTGGCATTTATGTCACTTAATTTATATGCAATGAGATTCCCATTGAAGATTTATTTTTGGAGCGCTGAATTTGATTGATAAAAACTGAGGAAATTCTTAAATGGGGATAATTTTATACCTTGATCATTGGTTTCGTATAATTGAAATTGAATGTTAAATGGGGGAAAACCTTAAATTGCGAAATGTTAAATGGAGTTCCATTGTATATAACGTAAATTGTGTCTGAATAGTCAACTTATTAAGAGTTTGTTTTTTCCAGGAGATCCCATTAAATTCCATGCTCAGTTTCTGGTGGTTTGTACAGACAGCAATGAAGCACTACCAGCAACAGACCTGGTGGCCCTAGGAAGATTAGGGACATCAGTTAGAAAGACTGTTGTTCTATCAAGTCTTTCAGATGATGGAAATACTGTACTGTATCAATCTCTTAAGTGGAATGCAACTTTTTAAGACACACTAGTTCGCCTGAACGATTGAATTATATTATTCATTTTCCATTAAATACCACTATCTTCAAAACAGGAAAGATTCGCTGCATCGACTTTATTCACAGTTTTGCATTAAACTCCATCATGTGTTTCTGGAGCATAGTTTTTGATAGCTTGTACAAGAAAGCGAATGAAATAACTTTTATGTGACAAATCTGAATGTAGTAGTGTGTTGTTAATTACTGATTCTTTTCTCGTGTGACACTTCTAACTTAATGTAACCTTTCTGTTAGTGAATATAATAGCCTGAAGCTTTCGCAGATCTTACCAAGTATACAGGATTTTTATTTTTTGATAAGCTTTTGGCAGTGCTGAACTTAGTATCAAGTTGTTGTCATATACAAAGGATCAAAAGGCATCTGTAAGAAAAATATTTTATTTTTGTGGTGCTTGTTGTGTTTCTGTGCAGAGAGAATACTTTCAACCTTTTCCGTTTGTGTTACGCTGAACAGAGACACTACTTACTACTGGCGTGTCAGTAAGATTGAAGAAAGAGGAGGTGTGTAATGTATGTGTAAAGTAAAGTAAAGCTATCCCTGTAACAGGCCGCGAAGGACCATAGGGTTGTGAGATGTTGAGGGTCCCACATTATCTAGACAATCAGCTCAAAGATGGCAGTAAGGTTGTCAGCCATACGCGCCGGCCACGCTTTACTCCCCAGGAAAATTGCTTAATTAAATCCTGGTACTCATTTCTGTTAGAAGCTGGTAATGTACGTGTAAATTAACATAAGTATAACAGTAGTAAGAAGTCAAAAGAATAGTGTCCAGTAATTTTATGTGTGATATTTAAGCCATTATACATAACTTAATCCAGGAAGCAAAATTTCTAACTACTATATGTTGTACTTCATCGTTTTTATTGTTTCAGTGTTCAGTGTTTGTCACAACAGACATAAGTTTCAGCAAGCACTGTAAGAAAAATCTGTCATCATTTATTATACAGAATTCTGTTAAGTCAGCAATTATTATAATATGGAATAAGTGACATTATGCTTTTGCAAATGAATACAGGGTGTTGCTTGAGGAAACCTATGCATTTCTTTCTTTTGAGTAATTTGAAGAAAAATCCACACACAATCTGGGAAGTTAAAATTTTCAGTTAGTCAGAAATTGAATTCACTTTTCCAGCAGCTCTGTATAAAGCTCAGCACAGTTTCATTTTTCATTTATATAGTGTTTGTGAACTTGTGAGCAGGTTGTAAGCAGAGCTGCTTCATGCTGATTTCTTGCATGACTTATTCTTTGATCCTGAAGATGGATGTGACATGTTCCTCAGAAAGGTCAGTTGACTTTCAAGGAGTTACAAAATGTTAATTTTTTTTATTCACCTTCCATAAATCCTGATGAAAATACATTTTCATGCAGATGTGGAGATCGTCCTAGTTACAGTCACAACTAAGAATTACGGTTGTCATCCAAAGGTATACACATTTGTAATAAAATACTGATAAACATATACAATATAATAAATAAGTTAATTTTAGTTGTAAAAGTAATGGCAAACCTTATAAAATTTGTACAGTTTTATGCAAATCTGTTAATTAAAAGTTCAATAGTTAAAGCACAATGTCATTAATGAGTTTTGTATAACATACATTAATAATATAATAAATTTAAATAAAGACTAGTATACAGTGATATAAGAATTGTGTATATCTAAAGTAAGTAACTAAAAACTAGAACACAGGCTGACAATCTTGATTCTTTAAATTGTAAAGTAAGACAGTTACTCGCATCTTAAAAAGATTTATAACTGAAATATTCCTGTAATGAATAAAAAGAATGTAAATATAAGAATTGTTTTAATTGTACCTAAAAACTCATTGTGTCACTTGATATATCCTTAACAGAGACAAACAGAAAACAACATGACTTACACTGTGGCTATGCAAAGTACAGTGCGCTGTATAAATGAGGCATTTTACATAGGATTAAAGGTCCTCACAGCAGTGGTTATGAAGACTTGTGTCCTCTCAGACATCTCTATCCAATATTAAATTTCTTGGAATATTCACTGATGATAAAATAAGCTGGAAATACCACATTGAATATATTACAAAGACAACAACTCCGTCCAGTGTGACTATTTAAGTTTTACTACTTGAAAACATAGCACCCTTACATGTTTCGATTCTTACGGACTATCTTCAGAGAGAACATCAATACTTATGTGGAAACTACTATCACAATAGGTGTTCCAAGTGCTAAATTACATACACACAATGCCTGGAATAGGCAATATACACAAAATCCAATATTTTCACAATCACACTTTAATACCAGGAAAGCTGCTGTGATTGTGAAAATATTTGGATTTTGTGTATATTGCGTATTCCAGGCATTGTCTGAATGTAATTTAGCACTCAGAACACCTATTGTGATAGTATTTCCAAATAAGTATTGATGTTCCTCCAGAAGATGATCCGTAAGGATCGAAACATGTAAGTGTGCCAAGTTTTCAAGTAGTAAAATTTAGATAGTCACACTGGATGGAGCTTTTTTGTTAGTTAGGAAAGTTCCTAACTTTCCTAACAGTTTTTTGCCAGTGCTTCGCTTATAATGCTTATAATCGACGTTTTTCTTAGGACATTACGGTGGCGCTGCGGTTGCCTCAGTTTTACGTTTCTTATCTAAATTTTATTCTAAGTGACCGTTAGGAACGGACACTTGTAAATAGGGGCTGCATAGTCGTGTCTACTGTTATCTTGTGAGCATTTGTGTCCCTTATTTACAGACATTTACCCCCGCTCGACTTTCGCATTATGTCCTGAAAATTTTATGGAGAATAGGACATTTAGTAATCCGTGCTTCCAATGGCCTGTGCTACTTTGGTTCTGTAGCCTTTCCGTTCTTATAATCCATGGAGTTAGTAATCAGTGGTGCATGTGGTCAGGATGTGCCTCTAACGCTTAAAAATGGTTGACACGTAAGTGAATCATGTCTGTTAGCATATCAGAAGACATCGGCATATTTTAGTTTTGCTTCATAATAAATTTTACACTATTAATATATCGTGGGAACAAGCTATGTTGGAAGAGGTTACATTTATAGGCGTTTGTGCTTCTTATGAATTCTAAAACCAAGAAATTATTTTCATTGTATATCTTCGGTTTATATTCTTATGCTTTCAGCGTTATTTTGTAAATTTTAGCATGTGCGCAGTTATTTTTGTTAATCTTGAGTTTGCTTATTAACCCGTAGTTTACAATTCAATTTACAGTGTTTCATTTGCTTATTGGTACTGAAAGAATGAACATTTTAGGCAGCCGAAAGAGAAGCCGGCCCAGAAGGAGAAAACTCCTGCCAAAGAGAAAGAGGAAGGGAAGAAGGAGAAGAAAGAAAAGCGGAGGGAGTTAGGAAAGAAATTACCAGCAGTTCCCGAGTCTGTGCTTAAAAGTCGAAAGCGAAGAGATTTAGCCAAAGCAGCTCGTGTAAATGTTGCTCTGAAGGTAATTTTAGTAATATATTTGTGTGCCTAATGTGCTTCACATTTGTGACTGGCCAAGTAGGTGGTTAAGTCGAGTAGGGTTTAAATACCATTCCACATTCAGCCCAAGCTAAATAGATCAGAGTGATTATTGTTATATCGTTTTATCTACTTGGATGTTCATAATGATGTATTTACTAGCAGTATTTAGCTTAATTGTCATTAGGCCATAACAGTGTATTTGGATTCAAACTATTGGTTATTTGCCACTGGTGTCTTTGCAGTATATAGCCAAACACATGCAATAGATATGACCAGATACTAGAATGTTAGAATTTTTCATACTGTAAATATGTTTGTAAAATGGAAATAGTATATCTAAGGTATGTATCTACCTTGACAAAATACAGTAATAAATGTCAGGTAGTTGTAATATTGTGTTGTGGCGGTGTTCATCTCAGGAACCTGTTTTATATGAATCGAGCTTTTCTAGCACAGATTTTCAGGCATTCATGGTAGTGAGTATTTGGACATTTCCTCACATAAACTTCAGGCCAGTAGGCAGTACACATTACAGTTTCTCTTCAGTATCACTCCAAAAAAAATGTTGAATAGCTGCCATGAAGTGAGATATGTCATTTGCCTGTCAACTGTAATCATGAGCTTCTGATACTGTATGAAATATTCATGATTCGTTAGTGTGTGAAAATGCTACGTGAGTGTTATGCATTGAAATAGTGATGATGTGTGTTATATGTGTGGAAAGTAAGAACTTGATTACAGCAGCATACATTTCAGGATCATACAGTTCCAAGCAGAAAATCTGTTTGTTAGACAGGGTTATTATTTGGTAAAAGAAGAACCAAATCAAAACACTTCGAGTACTCACAATGAAAAAAAATAATGAAATTGNATTAACAATTAAGTTCCTTCCGTCAAATGTGACACTTTTTTAAGTTTTCCACCTCGTCACCACCTGCCTTACATGTTTCGNATTTTGTTGCGTCTGTATTTATCTGTAAAGTGCATGTTACAGTTATGGCAGTTATATTTTATATGAACCCAGAATGATTTAGTTTTGTGACCAAATCAGATGGACACATTTAAGTTGTCACACTGACTGAAATTAGCCCACTGTATCATGTTGATAGGATCCATGATGTCTGCAGTTTCTGGTTGTTCTATGTTAACAGTGGTAGTAGCAAAGGTTTGTTGCATTGTCTGACCCACACATTACTTTCTTATGGAGCTGAGCCTTTTTTGAGGAGAAACCAAATCTGCAGCTACTCAACAATTTCGCAGCATTTTATGGAACCTGAAGGTTCATTACCGTGTTCACAAGAGCCCTTCTCTGGTCCCTATCCTGAGCCAGATCAATCCCATCCTATATCTAAGATCCATTTTAATACTCTTATTGTCCACCCACCTGCCCCTTGGTCTTCCCAGTGGTCTCTTTCTGTCTGGCTTTCCCACCAATATCTTATATACATTCCTTGTCTCCCCATTCATGCTACATGCCCTGCCCATCTCATTCTCCTTGCCCTGATCATTCTAGTTATACTTGGAGAAGAGTACAGGTTATGAAGTTCCTCATTATGCAGTTTTCTCCAACCCCCTGTCACTTCATTCCTCTCTGGCCCAAATATTCTCCTCAACACCCTCAGTCTATGTTCCTCACTTAATGTCAGAGACCAAGCTTCACACCCATACAGAACCACCAGGAAAAATTATAGTTTTGTATATTCTAATTTTTATGTTTTTGGACAGCAGATGAGAAGACAAAAGGTTCTGGACTGAATGGTAGCAAGCATTACCCGAGTTCAGTCTGCTCTTAATTTCCTCCTCAAGTAGGTTTTGATTTGTTATCGTTTTTCCCAAATAACTGAACTGCCACATTTTCAAAACATATGTTTCCTATCTTTATGTCATGATTTTGCCCTGCATTTTGGTGATGAGACAGCAACATATATGTAGTTTTCTCTGTGTTTACTTCTAGACCAACCTCCTTGCTTGCGTCAGTTAAAGTTTGTGTGTTTTTCTTTATGGTATCATCACCCAGTAGATTCACATAGATGGCTAAGACCAACAGCTGATGTGTCCCATTTAATTTCAATTCCACCTGGTTTTCCCGGATCTTCCTAATGGAATATTCTAAAGCAAAGCTGAAAAGGAGTCGCGATAAGCATCTCCTTGTCTTAGACCATTCTGAATAGGAAATTTATGAGACAAATGTTTACCTACATTACAGAACAAATTTCAGAAAAATGTAATCTTGAAATAGAGGAACAGTGTTTACTTCGGTTTATTATGTACCTTTTTTTTTTTGTCTTTTTCTTTTTTCAGTATTGTAAACATTGTTGAAAAGGTTAATTAATATCTTTGCGCTTTTCTTTTTGACATGCTGCTGACTTTACATAGATTTATTATTTCAAGCACTGTATTCAGGCCTAAGCTGTACTGTTTCATTCTCATAATTGGAGTTTTGAAAAATTTATATTTTGCGCTAACCATATTAGAGTGAATGGATGTTTCATGGGAACAAAACCATAACATTCCTGCATAGTTTTATTCTCTGACATCATTATCCTAAGAGTGGAAGCTCATGGGAAGAGGAAATTTGTGTTGTAGGGCTGGAAAGCTACTGAGCATTGTCTCTATAAAGCACAGAAGTAAACTAGCCACTTGACACAGTATGCAATGAAATAGGCTTCTGAAATGGAAATTGAGAGACTATATTGTACTTACATGGGGATAGGACACAAGCGAGTGGGCTAATAGGATCTTTATGTATTGTTAGCCGTAAATAACGTCAGAAGTAAAGTAACACATGCTTTTGGTTCAAAATATGGGGAAACAATGGCAGCAAATCAGGAATTACTGATTATGGTGAAGCTGCTGGAAACAAAACCCTCATTTTATGCTAAGGTTTTGCTTGTGGCTTTCTTGTTGTCTTGAAGTCTTTGTTATGAACCATGCTTGTGGTATTGTGGTTTCACTGTAATTGACATTGGTGGCATTGAGCATTAAATTAATAGGGCCTGTTGTGAAAATGTGACTTAATATTAGAACATATCACATTTTAGAAACGAACAGAGTACTACAAGAAGAGGAAGGAAATCTTCAAACGTGCTGAAAAATATGTGAAGGAGTATCACAGTCGCGAACGTGATGAAATCCGATTGGCACGTCAGGCAAGAAATCGTGGCAATTACTACATTCCAGGAGAAGCACGTCTTGCCTTTGTTATCCGTATTAGAGGGTAAGAAGCTCTAAGGAGTAATTGACTGGGAATATATGTTATCCACCTTAAGTATAAAATTATTTTGCCCACTGGTCTCCTTTGTGTTCCAATCTGGCTGCGAAGCAATCTTTTATTGTCTGGTGGTCTCCCACCTACAATGAATGACCGTGAAGGCTGAGCACTATACAACATACTTCTGCCCCAACACATTCTGGACAGCCCCAGGCCACAAACCAACAAAACGATATGTCATAAGTTGTCCAGACCAGCTTTGGGATCCACCCAACCACCTAATCCAGTGGGTACTGCGGGCTCTCTCCCTGCGACGTGAAGCACACCACTCATCTCCAGCTAGTGCTGAGGTCAAAATATGGATCTATACTTCCGCTCCCCCATGCTCCTTCATGGCGTAGTGCTTAATTAGTTAAGCACAGGGACGTTACCTTTTTATTTATTCTTTTTTTGCCTTAGAATGAACCTATCTTTAAGTAAGTACTGGTAACATTTATAAACACAGGAAGAAATCGTGAAAAGAGCTACCCCATTAAGAATGATGATACACTTGTTACAGATCTTTATATGTCATACATGACACTTATTTTAAATGTCTGTAAATATTACATCTTGTTTTAATGGAGGAGGACCTACATTTCTTTCAGAGTGATCTCCTTGGTCTGTCTTTTGTCCATCTTATAGATTTGTAATTTTATGCTATTGTGTCTTCATTTGTAATTAGTCATGAGTTTATTACATACTCGTATTTCAGTTCTTTTTCTATGACTTATGGGCATGCTTGTGTCCCCTGTGTCTGACAGTTTTATGTTTAATTTCAAACAGCTCTGACAAGTCATTTGATAACATGTGTGCGCTCATCCCCAAAACCTTCTGTAATTGTAACTCTTTTGACTGGTATTTACATAATCTGTATGAATGTAATGCAAAAGGAAGAAGCAAGAGGGAGGGGAGTAATTAACTGTGGGATGGATATCGTTGCCCCAGTTTGAGAATTTGGCCATGTAAAACTCAGTTTCAGATATACAAAGTCTGTTAGTTTTTTTCAAATTGGTGTTTTTCCCCAGACTTGAATAAGCATGTTACCAGATGTTATCTCATAGGCTGAATTTTGAAGGTAAAGCCCTTATAGAATAGTTTGTGTTTGTGTAATAGAATGTTGGCATAAAGGTAAAATACTTGATTATTAAAGCGTGTAGGTGAAATGGAGATAACTTTTGTACCACTGGGAAGTAAATTGGTCTTGTGATACTTTCTTTTCCTTTCTGAATTTACTCCTGAGGTTGAATCGGTACCTTCTGGATAGAAGGCTGGTTAGGTTGCACAGTTATTCCAGTTAACTTTTACTGGGAACTGAAACCTGGGCATTTATGTAGTATAGCCAGATGTTGTGCTAACAGAAGTACTGTTTCTTGTCTGAACAGTTGAATTTTGTTGTGTGTGAAGTTACGTATGTGCAGTGGATGAAAAGTTATACTATTTCAGTATCAACCAAGTGGCCCCCAAGGTGCGCAAGGTATTGCAGTTGTTCCGTCTGAAGCAGATCAACAATGGTGTGTTCATAAAGCTAAATAAGGTAAGGAAAGCTTGCAAAATGATTCAGCATTGGTGCAACATATCCACGTTTTCATTTCTTCATTGTATCTGCTTGTGTTATTGTTTATTACATTCAGGGTGTCCTTAAAAGTGCTACATTCTGCTGTAAATGGTTGTGTCATTTTATTAATTTTTTAATCGCATTCAGAACGACTTTTACTAAGCATCTTGTCAGTCTTGTGGAATAGGGAATTGGTCAGTAGCAGCTGTATCATGAAACTAACCATTTTTATTTTCATTTTGAAAAACCAAATGAAAATTACCTGTGAGCACCATCGTGTCCATCTGTCTGCATATAAGAGGAGCCCCATTGTCTGCCTGATTTCAGTCAGACATGGTATGAGGCCTATGTTAAATGTTATCTGGCCATGTTTGTTCTGGTTTAGCTATATTTTGGAAGGCATTTTGCATAAGTGCCTAAATGAACATTATTTGTGCTTTCAGTGTTTGACAGATTTTGATAAAACTGTATGCGATACATATATAAATATAAATTTCATAATGAATGGCCTAAATTAACCTTTACAAGTAACATCTGTTCAGAATTCTGATGAATATTAATAAAATTATGTAAGTTGACCAAGCAGGTTGGTGTAATGGTAATGCCGTAGGTTTGTATTTGGAAGGTGATTGGTTGCTATATGCTGTCACCTTGTGAAAGAGGAAGTGAGACCACCAGAAATCCTTCGTATAAGGATGAGACTGTGTTATGTACACCCAGTGACTGATTCACATAGTAAGTTTCTGAAAACCATAAAGAAGTCTTGAACCTACTGCATTCTCACTTTGGGCCAGCAGATGTACAGCATGCAAACATTTGCTGCATCAGGGGTCAGCTTATGGGAAACAGGTGAATTGCAGTGTATGACATTGCATCCACTGGTGGCATAACTGTTGGGAATGTTAAGCAAGATCATAGTGCATAACAGTTCCCATCTCCATATGGCAAACTTTACAATGATGGCATTGGCTGGGAAATCATGAACCACCTCCCTTACAGGCCTGACTGAGCCCCAAGCGATTTTCATTCATTCAAACCAGTGAACATGCACCTAGGAGGACAGAAATTTCAAGCTGAAGATGAACTTGAACATGGGGGGCGGGCTTGAACTGGCTACACAGTTAGGATAAATTCTTTTTGCTACTATCATCAGTAAGTATTCAGGATGACAGAAGAAATGCATTAGTGCAATGGGAGAATATCTTGAAAAGGAGTGAGTTATGTGATTCTGGTATTTATATTCCTATTTTAAAACAAGGAAGCCCTGGTCAGCCATGAACCATCCTTTTATTTGCATCTTTCACAGATCATGTGCAACAGTGACAATTCTTTTGATACCATATCAGATATGGTTTTTTCTTACTCAGTCATGTTACTTTGATTTTATACCTGCTGCTATCTTACTTGGACCTTGGCGGTAACATTTTATACTGATATCCTTTGTGTACAAGAATGGATATGCCCGTGAAATGTACAAGATTTTCCTTCTCAATTCAGCTTTAATAATGAAGCATACATACAGTTATTTTAATGATGTGAATGACATAGTGAAAATAGAGAAATTTTTAAAAATAGTAACCTCATGCAGAACAATTTTACTTTTTCCATACTTTCTATAGCAGTATATAGTATAATGAATAATGGTATAGGGAATGAAAAAGCAGTCTTATAGAAACAATATTCATAGAATTTTTGTAATTCCAGGCCACAATAAACATGTTGCGCATCTGTGAACCTTACGTTACATGGGGCTACCCTAACTTGAAGAGTGTAAGGGAGCTCATCTACAAGCGAGGGTTTGCTAAAGTTCGTGGTCAGCGTATCCCTATTACATCCAATGCCATCATCGAGAAGAAATTGTGTATGTATTACTTTATTTACTTCTTTCCAGCATATTTTGTGGCCTTCATTTGCTTGATTTTTCAAGCAGACCTTATGCCAGGTTATTTTAGTGCTCCATAATGCATACTTCTGAAGATCTGCTTGTTTCACCAAAGAAAAAGCCGCAATTACTTGGCATGTTGCGCACACTGCTTATTTCTTCACCACTTCAACAGCCATAGTCCTGTCATAAAATTTAGAATAGAAGCTGAAGCTAATGATACTTTTCTGGTCTTGGACCTGATGGTCAAAAAGAGGGCTCATATATTGGCCACGGAAACCTACTCATACAGGTATCATGTGCACTTCAAATTCACCCACATCACATGAAAAGGGGAGCCATTCATAGTTTGATCAGTTGAGCCAAGGTCATATGTCAGGATCAGAAGAGGATTTTAGCAAGGAAGTTAAGAACATAAGACATGATCTGATGCTTGATGAATACCCACAAGAATTCGTTGACTCCATATTTAAGCCATCGAGAAGCAACTGTCCTTCAGATACAATATACCAGTGCACAGTTATTATCCCATATGTTAAGGGTATCTTCAAGAAATTCAGATGCATTGGAAACCATTTCAGTGTCAATCATTTTCAAAACTAAACATGCACTCGTTTGGACATTGGTGAAAACTGGACTGGTTAGAGATGCCCAGCAAACAAAGCAGATGGAGACAGAATCCAGTCTCTGAAACGTAGAGTTTTAAATAAAAGCAGGGTGATTGATAATGTCCAGAAATGCAATAATTGTACCATGCATTTGTGTATAATGTACCATGGAATCTCCATATAGTATTTCTTGATTTATGTATGTCCTTCCATTATTATTACATTCTGTTATCTCACGATGTTCAGCGTGTTTTCTTCAGTTTAGTTTTCAAACCCAATATTATGCTTCAGGGAAATGTGAAATGGGGCTTCACTGTTGTTGCTCTTGTTTACATTTTACTTTAGTCAGTTGTGTCCATATATTTACCTACAGTAAAATAAGTTCATATGTTCAGTATGTTTAAAAGCAGTGCCTTTTTTGCTTGTTATGTGCCAATATATGTATTCAATTGACATGTACCCACAGACTTGTTAAAGGTCACACATTCGTTGGTGCAGTTTTTGTTTTGACCTTGGGGCTAAAACAGCATGAGAGCACCAGCATACATGTTTTTAGAAGAAAAAAAAAAGCAGGCTGATGACATGTTTTAATCTAAAAGAGAAAAAATAATTTTAAAGAGGGAACAGGTGAACATGACATTTCAAGGGTATTGAAAACCTGAAGTGTCTACTTAACAAGAAGTAGCATTTCCATATGGTCAAAACGAGAACTACATTGTAGAGAGAGAGATTGCAAGCACCTTCAGTTTCTTAATGTTGCCTTACATAAATGTAGGACTTACTGAGGCACTTTAATTTTTGCATTACTTTTTACACTGACTGTATTTGTAGTTTTGATTGCCAAACTACTTATATCAGACATTTGTTGAGTATACTTATTACCCACCCTCTTGTCCTATTCCTTGTCATATAGAGCAGAAGAAAGTGCATTTCAGAATCTGAGTATTGTGTCTGAATAGAGAATCAGAAGTGGTTGACAAGTATAATTAGAGCAGTTATGGAATAAAAAAAATATTAGTTGACTCCTCAGAACATGGATGCAATTGGGGGACAGTGTTTTTAGAATGGCAGTCAGCAAGTAATGCCCATTACATGATGCTATCTGATATTCTCTTCAGGCCGATAGCCTCTTTCATTGTGACTTGTGTCAGGTGGCTAGTGAATGCAGGTTAAAAATGGTGAATATGAGAATATTGAAGCAGTATGTCTCTGCAGTTGGAAGCTTGTAAAATAGCAGAAAAGGAAGGTGGTATAGATCGACTTAGAATCGTTCACCATTTTGAAGAGCAAGGGTGAGATGTGAGCAGTTATTCTTTGTGATAGAAGTTCAGCGACGCAGACACAGATTAGCAGTTGTGATTTGGAGTTCCATACTTTTATAGTGATTTTGTGAAAAAAGGTCATATGGTTCATGGAAAGACAGGCAGGCAAAAGCTGTTATGCAGCACATGTAATGATCAAGAGCTTCTAGTGTTCTGAAGTGTGGATTTATTATTTCAAAGACTGAAAGCATTAGTGTCCACAAAGTGTGAGGTGACTTCTGCATTTAGAACTGGCTTGTAGGTATGTTCGTTTTGAACATTTTTCTCTCCAATTCCATCTCTGCTGCAAGCCAAAATAGTTTACAGTCTCTCCTTTATATTAAAATGCCTTTAAATTACATTCCATTGCAAAATATTTTGGCCTTACAAAACCGTCTTCAGGCAGTTGTTCACCAATTGAAACTGCCGCACTGCACCACTTTGTGTGTTGTATGTATCACACCAAACGATCAGTACAAGGGGCACATGGCCAACTGATGAGAACTACACACAAAGGGGGCACAACATGGACACCACAAAATGAAAATAACATGGAGCAAAGAAAGAATGTTCATTCTCAAACACATTTTATTGTGAAGGAGGATATGCAATAGCATGGGGATGCTTTGGCATAAACTGGTGTAGTGCTGCAATCTCAGTTGGTGAACAGTTGCCTGAGATGGCCTTGTAAGGCGGAAGCATGTTGCAGTTGACTGATTTTAATGGAATTTTAAAATAAAGGTGAAATTGTGGACAGTTTTGTGTTGCATTAGAGACGGGAATGAGTGAACGAGTGATACATCAATGCAACAGGATGTTGAAATATAAGATTGTTGATAGATATGGCAGAGCTAATAAGTGCATTTATGCAACTTTTCTTTGTGATAACATATTGCCATACCCATATGAATTTCTTTCCATATTTGGTATGTACTTGTGTAATAAGAAGTTCGGAAGTGGACGTTAAGATTACATATTTCATTTTTTTTATGTTACAAGATCCTATTTGAACAAAAATTTTTATGAATTTCACAAATTATTTTGTTTATACATGAAAGGCCAGAATGCTGATTTTGTACTATACAAATCTGGGGTATGACTGATGTGTGTGTAAATGTGATAAATCTGTTTTTATAATTAAATTGGTATTTTTTCCCAGCAAAGTGCAACATCATCTGCATTGAAGACCTGATACATGAAATATTCACAGTTGGAGATAAATTCAAATATGCTTCCAACTTCCTTTGGCCATTTAAGGTAATGAAATATGACTGTTTGTTTTGTGTAATATAATATGATATAATAATGAAATGTCTCCATCTACACTTCACTTTAAGTGCATCCAAAATGGTCTTTAATTTACTCGCCTGTTGGACCTTTATGTCTGCCCATCTGCCTGATAGTCACAGTGCCCATATTACTGAACAGATTTCATTCAAACAGTATAGTAGGACATTGAATATTAGCTCACCAATTTTGATGTTTCATTTTTTCATTTTAAGGGCCTGTATAAACATTTACATATTTTTGAGGCTTTTGACAGATTTTGATGTGCGGTACTTTTGTTGTATGACATTCATTTGTAAGGTTCATGAATCATAATTCATTTTATGGGCATAATTGAAATTTTATATATATCGTTTAAGTCCTTTACTAAATTTTAATCATGTAGGATATACACACACACACCACATTGTTATAGGTTTGTGTCTACAAGTGTTATGTGGGCCCAGTGATTTTTATTGTGTTTAAAATGAGCAATTTTCTGGAGCAACGAATTCGTGTGAAATTTTGTGTTAAATTGGCAAAATCCCCTATGGAGACATTTGAAATGTTAAAAACCTCATTTGGAAATGAGGCTTTAGGCCAGGCTCAAACGTTTGAGTGGTGGACACTTTCAAAGATGACCGAACTTCAGCGGATGGGGATCCTTGTTCAGGCCGATCATCAATATCCAAAACTGATGAAATTGTTGCAAGTGTTACAAAGTCATTTGTTCTAACCATCATTTAACTTTTCGCAAGGTAGCTGAAGAAGTAAGCATTTTGAAAACTGCCTGTCATGAAATTCTTATGCAAAATTTAGGTATGATTTAAGCAGCCTCCATAGTCTAGGGGTCACATTCCCACCTCATGACTCAAGGTACGCGTGTTCAAACCCAGCGGAGGTCGTGGAATTTTTAAGGGCGGAAAAATTCAGGGAACAAGTCCTCCGGGAGGGACTTTAAGCCGTGTGTCCCGTGTCGTAGATTTACGGCACGTAAGAGATCCTCATGTCTCTAGGAGGCCTCTGAGCAAAATTAGGCAAAGTTACCCACCCAAGTAGTTTCCAATTCCTCCGGTAGATGGGGAAGTATCAGGGACCACTGCCAGAGAGGGCTGACCTTGCTGGCAGAACGGGGCTGATAGTGAGCACCAGTACTGGAAGGGCATGGGGACTGGTAGAATATTAAAGGGGGGTGCACAGTAGATTAACAACTAGTCGCAGTGCACGGGGAAACCCACCCCCTCCAACAACAACAACAACAACAATAATAATAATAATAATAATAATAATAGGTATGAGTCAGATGCAGTCAAATTTGTGCCATACCTTTTGACTGATGAGCAAAAACAAATTTGAGTTTATGTGAGTCAAGAGCTTTTAAATGAAGCTAACAGTGTTAAAAAAAAGCAAGACAAGTGTAGTCAAGCGTTAAAGTCATGCTGACAGTTTTTTTTTTTCCAGTTCTGAGGGCATTGTTGACCATGAATTTTTTCCAGAAGGCAAGACAGTGACCGAGGAATATTATCTTGAAGTAATGAAACATCTTCATGAGGCTGTCAGAAAAAAAAAAGGTCCGATGCTTGGAGGTCAAATCGATGGATGCTCCATGCTGACAATGCACCCACCCCACATTGCTATTAATCCATCAGTTTCTGATGAAACACAAGACAACAGCTGTTCCACAACCACCTTACTCACTTCATATGTCACCAACAGACTTTTTATTCCCCAAATTAAGAATGTTGTTGAAAGGCTGATGTAATTCCACATACTTCGGGAATACTTATACTGCTCTGTCCAAAAAGTATCTGACCTTGGGCCGGGAGAACAAAGTTCTGTATCTTGATGGTTACAATACCTAATCCCCTTCAAAGTAGGCCCCTTGTGACTCCAAACACTTAGGCCAGCGGTCCTTCCATCACTGGAAGCAATTCTGGAAGTCTTCTTTTGGAATGGCATGCAACTGCGCCATCACGTTCTGTATGATGTCCTCATGGCTGTCAAAACGGGAGCATTTTAGTGATGTCTTCAATCTTGGGAACAGCCAGAAATCACAAGGAGCCATGTCAGGAAAGTAGGGAGCCAGGCGAACCTGTGGAATGCCATGCTTGGCCAGGAAACCCTGGATCAGGTGTGATGAATGAGCTGGGGCATTGTCACGATGCAGCTGCCAGTTGCGTGTGTCCTACAGCTCCAGTCTCTTGCGCTGAACTGCATCATGAAGATGGCAGAGGACTTCTTGGTAATACTCCTTATTGACAGTTTGCCCTAGTGGTGCATACTCATGACGCACAACACCCCGGTAATTGAAAAAAACAGTCTGTATCACCTTCAGATTGCTCCGAACCTGTCGTAATNACTGCGCCATCACGTTCTGTATGATGTCCTCATGGCTGTCAAAACGGGAGCCTTTTAGTGATGTCTTCAATCTTGGGAACAGCCAGAAATCACAAGGAGCCATGTCAGGAAAGTAGGGAGCCAGGCGAACCTGTGGAATGCCATGCTTGGCCAGGAAACCCTGGATCAGGTGTGATGAATGAGCTGGGGCATTGTCACGATGCAGCTGCCAGTTGCGTGTGTCCTACAGCTCCAGTCTCTTGCGCTGAACTGCATCATGAAGATGGCAGAGGACTTCTTGGTAATACTCCTTATTGACAGTTTGCCCTAGTGGTGCATACTCATGATGCGCAACACCCTGGTAATTGAAAAAAAGCAGTCTGTATCACCTTCAGATTGCTCCGAACCTGTTGTGATTTTTTGGGCCTCGGGGATGTTGGATGCTTCCATTGTGATGCCTGGACCTTGGTTTCTGGGTCATATCCGTACACCCATGACTCGTCACCATTGATCACAGTCTTCAGGAACTCAGGATCCCTGTTGTAGCACCGCAGCATATCCAGTGCGACCTCAAGGCAGAGTTGTTGGTGCTCTGGCGAAAGCAGCTTGGGCACAGATTTTGCCGCCACTCTTCGCATGCCCAGATCTTCAGTTAAAAATTGTGTTTGTAGAACCTCTGCTGATCCCAACCTCATCAGCAACTTTCCGGATGGACAAG